TTGTCTATAGTGCGCTGCTATAAGGGAAAAAGGGGTTTTCGGTATATAGTTGCATGATTATATTCACAATCAGTTTATTGTAAAAAGGGGGCAAGTTGTCACAATGGGCTAAAACTTAGTTTTAGATGTATTAAATGTATCAAAATGACAGCAAAGATATATGTACTGTAAGTATTTATTTATATATTTATTTGTTTTAATCATTTTAAATACATTCAGTGTAAAAAGTTCTAAACAATTCCTTAATGTTGTCCCAACACAAATAGAATAAGTTAACATAATCATTTTTACAAATTTAACTAAATTGAACAAAAAACAATGAAGTTGTCCCCCAAAAATTAAGAATTGTGTTTTTTCATTCATTCATTAGTTTTTCTTCGGCTTAGTCCCTTTATTCATTAGGGGTCACCACAGCAGAATGAACCGCCAACTTATCCAGCATATGTTTTACACAGCTGATGCCCTTCCAGCTGCAACCAAGTACTGGGAAACACTCAAACACACTTATACACTATGGTCAACTTAGTTTCATAATAATAATAATAATAATTCATTTTATTTGTAAATGGCGCCTTTCTAGACACCCAAGGTCGCCTTACAATCAGCATCAGCAGACATGCTAAACAAATAAACATTGCTAAAAAAAAATCATTAACCAAACAAGTTAAAACACAATAGCGAATATAAAAGAACATAATAAAAACATGATAAAAAAATAATTGTTAAGTAAAAGCCTGTTTAAAAAGATGGGTCTTTAGACGGGATTTAAAAGTGTGAAGTCTATCACTGCTCCTAAGATCTAGTGGAAGTGAGTTCCATAGCCAAGGAGCCATAGAGCTAAACGATCTGTCTCCCATTGTGCTCAATCGAGTGCGAGGTGGTACCAGGGTGAAGTTGTTGGCTGATCTATGGGTACAAGAAGGGGTGTAGATATGGAGAAGTTCAGTGAGATATTGAGGAGCGAGATTATGGAGTGCCTTGAAAGTTAGAAGTAATATTTTAAAATCAATTCGATACTTTACTAGAAGCCAATGAAGCTGATAGAGGAGTGGTGTGACGTGCTCGTGAGATGGGGTCCTAGAGATGACACGAGCTGCATGGTTCTGAACCAGTTAGATTTTATGGAGAAGTTTGGAACGAAGTCCAGAAAGAAGTGCATTACAGTAGTCTAGATGTGAAGTAACTAATGCGTGGATAAGAATGGCTGTGTTATTAGTTGTGAGAGAAGGGCGGAGACGAGTGATATTACGCAGGTGGAAATATGCATTGCGTGTGATATTATTGATGTGACCTTCGAATGAGAGTGTGCTATCCAAGATGACACTCAAACTCTTTACCTGCACTGAAGGAAAAATTGTGCTGTTATCTATAATGTCTATAGTGAAATGATCAGCTTTATCCAAAACACTTTTAGTGCCAATGAGAAGGGCTTCAGTTTTGTCGCTGTTTAATTTTAAAAAGTTAGCTGAAAACCAGTCAATCATCAATTCACCTGCACCGCAAGTCTTTGGACTATGAGGGAAACTGGAGCACCCACATCAACACAGTGTCACATGTCTGGTGTGTCTGTGTTCTGTTGTGTCATGTGGTGTCTCTTGTTTGATTCCATCTTGATGATTATTAGTTATGTCTCATCCCTGTTTGTAGTCAGTTCATTATGTCTTGTGCATTTACACTCTGTGTTTTGTTCAGTCCTTGGTCCAGAAGGGAAGTGTCAGCCACCCCAGTGATGCCCGTGTTCCATGTTCGTAAATGTTTTGTAAATAAATATGTGTTTTTGATCACTTCTGCGATGCAGTGCATTTGTGAATGAGCAAACCGTGACACTCAGGGAGAACATGCAAACTCCACACAATAATCCCTGGCCCAGTCAGGACTCAAACCAGCAACCTTCTTTCTGTGAGACGACAGTGCTAACCTCTGCACCGTGTGTTTTAAATAAGTTTTTAAATAAATGTTTTTTCAAATAAGTTGTTTGTACAAGCAACAAAAGTCATTTTTTAGAGTGTTCTTTTTTCCTTTCATTAAAAAACTGGAAAAAAAGTCAATTTAACTACACGTCACAACGACAGGTAGCGCAAGCTCTGTGATTGGTCGGCTTGGTAGCACTGACAAGTGGGTGATGCAGAGAGCCGCGCGAGCCTGATAGAGCGAGTGTTTACAAATGTGGAGTCTAGTGAAGGGGCTCAGGGGTCCGTTCTTTGTACCTCGCTTAAATGATCTAAGATGATTTGACAGATCCTGGATCTTTTAATCTTGATAACTGATCTCTCGCTAATTTGGTTCTTCAAACAAGTTCGCGAATCAGATTAGAATGTTTGGATAAACTGATCTGAGATCGCTGCGTGTGTTGTGAAGGACAGATCTATCGATCCTCGAAATCATGATCAGCATTGCAACGATTGGCTGACGGCACAGCAGCGTAATGACGCTCATTAATCATCTGATTAATATTCAATTATCCATGTGAGCAAAATTACGTTAAATTAGCAGAAACGGTTTGTTAAATATGACACGCAATAACCTTCCACATTTGTTGTGAGCTGCAGGCTTTACTCTTTCATGTGTCAAGAGTATTCATCATGTATTTCAGTGCATATCAGTGTATTTAGTTCCACATTTAGAAAAATATTTTCTTTATTATAATAGCCGTTTTTTTAATCGGTGTAAAGAATAACTGGTTGTTTACAAAAGCATTTTGATATTGGTAAAGGCGTCTGCAACTTTTGTGAAGCATCAAATCACTGGCATATTAACTATCAAAATATGTTTATGACTGCATAAATGTATTATTGCTTTTAAAAAGTCACATATTGTGCATTTCTATTATACACAATTTTTACTAAGCGATCTAAAAAAGTTCATATCAATAAGTTTTCTCTTTGCACCACCTCTTTGTACTTTCATTTCGAGAGTGCAGATTGCATAAGTTTTATTAATATATATAACTTTATTTTATTAATAACTATAACTTTTATTTATATATATATATATATATATATATATATATATATATATATATATATATATATATATATATATATATATATATATATATATATATATATAGTTTAAAAAATATTTACTCTTTTCCCAAGTGTATATAACTACTACTGTAAGAAAATATCAGAATTCGGAACATACTTTCTGTATTATATTTGCTTGAACTGAGCCGATCTAATCCTGTTTATATGAATTGAACCTGCTCCCGATCAGGTTTGACCTAGCAGAACTGTTGCTATGACAACAACTCTCGGATCAGCTTTAAAGAACGAAACGATCCTGGATCGTGTCAAATCGTCAATATCCAAATCCAGCTAACTGAGTAATCCTTGTACGAAGAACAAACCCCTGGATGGAGACTGTTGTGTTTTGTTGTGTTTACTAATTTACGATTAAAATTGTTGCACGTCCACCGATTCCAGCCTCAAAATGAGTGAGTCTGAGCCACTTGTACATTAAGGTAGCATTTAGAAAAAACAAAACACCAGCGAAAAAACTCGACACAGATGAACATATACAACTACTGCCAACTAGAGTTTCTGAAGTGTTATTGCAGAGCAACACAAACAGCACGCAGAAGTATAAATGCACGGCTACGCACATTTCTCCACGCAGAAGTAAAAACCAGGCTTAAGCCGAAAGGAAAATAAATAAATGAGTGAAAATACAATTGTAATAATATTTATAAAGTCTTATTATTAAGTATTAATACATAACTTATTAATAAAGTCATCTGGAATGACAGAGAAAGCATTCTTGCAGGACTCCCAGAGTTCAGCATGATGCTTTGAAATCATCTTTAATGCCTCCTCCTTCATCTTAACACAGACATGCTCAATAATAATCATGTCTGGTGACTGGGTTGGCCACTTTTCTAAATGATCAACTAGAAGACAAGTTATTATTTGTTGCTCTTACAACTGAGATCGACGACAAGACTTTTGTCTAACACAGGCTCATTCTGAAAACGTAGTCCCGCGGATGTTTCTGGAGACCGCAAATTATATAGCCGGAAGTACGTATGGCAGCATTTCATTTTTTTTAAGTGAACGCTGCGGGGGCGGTATGACGCCATTACTTTTGGCACTTTCCGGTTGACCTTTTCCTCCATGTGGAGTGCTTTCCCGCTGCAACCAGATTGTCCAGTTAGCTTGTCGTGTACACCGGCGGACTTGAGACGCAGAGAGGAGTTGACCATGATGACGACCGGGTTTGAGTCCGGGAAAGAGTGGTTCCAGAAATCAGGTAAGACAAAAACTAGTTAAAACGAATTAAAAACAAATTAAATTAAATTAAAACAAATTAAAACGAATAAGTGAACAACCGTGAGAATATGGTAAAATCTGAAAACATTTGAAAAATCAGACAAGGGCTTTTCTTTTTCTGGACAGCTTTTGTAAACGGCAGGGTTTAGGGAAGTAAGCAGGCAGGCAGGTCAATTGGTAAAATTGGTTGGGTTTAGGGAAAGAGGAGGGGTGGGTTGGTCGATTGGCCGGTCGCCCAGTCAATCATTCAGTCATTCAGTAAAAGAAGAGAAGGAGCTGTTAACAGCTGCTAGAGGCAAATGAGATGCAAAAAAGCGCACACAGTGTCCTCTCGTTGATTCGCAAAAACAAAAAGTGCAAAAATATGTATCTCCCGGGACGTATTTCGCGGTCTCCAGAAACGTCCGCGAGACTACGTTTTCAGAATGAGCCTGGGTTGCTTTTGTCAGGTAGTGTATACCTAGTGAATAAAAATAAATACAATATTTAATATATAAAAATGGTGCGTATTACTTAAAAATTACTTACATAAAATGCTAAGATAAATATCAATAACCAAGACTCACATTGTGACAACTTACCCCATAAAATCAGACAACATGCCCAATTATTAAAGCACCAATATTCAAATGCCTGCAATATATTGTATATACAATACAATTAACAGTGATAATCTAGTAAAAAAAACAAAAACAAGCAACAATCTATCTAAATATATAGAAAAGCCGCGAATAAATTCAATAAATTGTGTTTATTTATGGAAGTTGTCCTTGTACATACTTCCCCATGCAGTCTAACAGTAGCTATTAATCCACGTCACGAAACACAAACAGTAACACGGTAACATGAAGTATTATGACATCATTATACATCAGGGTCTTAACGTACAGTTTACATATTTACAGTCGATCTCAGCCTTGCCGCATGTCTGCTTTCGCACCGCACACACAGTAACTGCAAGGCACAAAATGTTGATACATTTCTTTGTTTTTCAGGGAGTAAAAAAAAACAGTAATCGCATCAAACAGCCATAAAATCACATGCCACACAACCGTCGTGTTGCATAGAAATTGTGGCGCTACGTGAAAAAACCAAAACGTGAAGCTTTTTACGTGCCGATCAGGAGCACATTACTGATTCGCTCATCAGGATCTGACAGAAGAGGATTATAGGAAAGATGGAAGACTGCTGAGGGAGGTTTACAGTGTTTGAGTTCTGGTCACCAGGAGAGTAAAGGGTTTGGGTAAATAGTAGAGCAGCTTGGAGGAAGAGGATGAAGGAGTTTAGATGTGTTAAGTGTCAGACCATGCAGGAACTCTCCAGACCATCCAACAAAAAATGCCTCAGACAGCCTTCAGTCCATCAGTCAGGGTTTACTCACAGAGGAGGTCACACTTCCGGACAATCTCTACAGGTAAAACACACAAACACATATTCATATGGTTAGAAACACAGTATATAAATATACAGTTGAAGTCAAAATGATTAGCCCTCCTGTGATTTTCTTTATTATTATGTATAACAGAGCAAGGCATTTTCACAGTGTTTACGATAATATTTTTTCTTCTGGATAAATTTGTTTTATTTCAGCTAGAATAAAAGCAGTTTTTAATAAATAAAAAAAAAAAAAAAAACATTTGTAGGTCAATTTTATTAGCCCCCTTAAGCTATATTTTTTCGATTGTCTACAGAATAAACCATTGTGATTGCCAGCGGTGTTTTCTTTACTGGAGAGTACTTCCAGTATTCTGAACTACAACTCCCAGAACTCTTTGCACCTATCAACCCCTGCAACAGCTGACAATAATCTGGACATTCACACATAGACACATCTGTAGCTCATTTTCCCTGATTACCTAGACTCCACTTTCACATCCACATTGCTGAGTCTTGTTTCTTTTCGAACATTGCGAAGCACTTTTTCCTTGTTTGTTTTCGTGTTTTTGATTCTTGCCTTGTTCCTGGTTTGACCCTTTACCACCTAGCCTGACCTCTCGCCTGTAATTTTGACCATGTTTATTGGATTACCTTTATGCTATTTGTGGGGAGGGGGCGTGGCCAAGAGCCGTGGGAACGGAGTGAGGCCACCGCGTAAGTGGATACACCTGCGGTGCGCACCTGCTTCGGATCCCACGGAAGGAGCTCTGGACAATAAAAGGAGGAATGATGGCAGAGGAAGCCGAGAGAGGACCGGGACATATTTTACTTTTGTTTTCAGTTTGACGGCAGTCTCCGTGAGGAGCTGCCATCCGTTTGTTTTGGTTTAGACGGCAGTCTCCGTGAGGAGCTGCCGTCATTGTTATTATTAAATATTTTAAACCTGCGTCGGTTCTCCGCCTCCTTCTTCCCGGCAGCCAAAGGGCTGTAAACTTCATTACACTATTGTTTTGCCCGTTTTTGACCTTTGCCTGTACAACTTGTCCTTTAATAAACTGCATTTAGATCGGCACATTTGTTGCCAGCGTCCACTACCTAACATATATAATGACTTGCCTATTTACCCTAAATTGTCCTTTAATTGTCATTTTAAGCTGAATATTAGTGTCGTGAAAAATATCTAGCAAAATATTATGTGCTTTCCTCATGGCAAAGATAAAATAAATCAATTAATAGAAATGAGTTATTATAGCTATTATGTTTAGAAATGTGTTTAATTAATAAAAATAGCATTAAACAGAAATTGCGGGTCGAAAAATTGGGAGGGGGTGCTACTAATAATTCAGGAGGGTTAATAATTGTGAATTTAACTGTATGAATTACAATTTTTTTTTTTTAAAAAAGCACAATGTAAGAACTGATTAGTTTATTTTACTTTAAAAAGCAAAGTAACTGTTTATTTTAAAGTGATTAGTTGATTTAACTTAAAAATAGTGAGTAAATCCATTGCTTTAAAATTGTTAAGTAAGTGAACTATGCACAGTTATTAAAATTAAGTCAAGTCAATTTAATAGTTTTAGTCAGTTTATTGGTTTTTACAATGCATGTCACACGGAAGACTGGAGGAATGATGCTGAAAATTGTAATTTAATACCAGGAATATAATTACATTTTTAACTACCCTTTTATAAGAAAGCAAGTATTTGAAATGTAATTATATAAAAAAAATTAATTAAAAAAGTTTATAATTAGTTAAAAAGATTAACAATAAATAAATAATTTTCACATCATTCTTAATGCAACATTCATTCATTCATTTTCTATTAATCCAAGGTTACCACAGCGGAATGAACCGCCTAACGCAACATTGGTAAGCAAAATTCTTTCATTTTTTTAATTATTTGTTTTTTCATATTGATATTAATAATATTTTATATCTTTAATAAGCCTTTGACTTCGGATTAGAAAGATCACAGCAGCTAGCTCTTTGCAACTATCACATGGTCGCCCACTGGAGCACAGAAGGGCTGCTCCTGGTCAGTACCTGGATGTACTGGTTGCTACAACTGGTTGCTCGCAGTAGTTGTGTTAGTGAGACCAGCAGAGGGGCACTCAACCTACTATCTGTGTGGGTCTTAACACCCCAGTATATTGATGGAGACTCTATACCGTTCAGAGAGCGTAGTTTTTCCGATGAGATCCCAGGATGTCCATTAAAAAAAAAAAAAAAAAAAAGAGTAGGGTTTTAACCTCAGCAACCTGGCTACATTTGCGCATTGACCTCCGAATCACCCCATATAATAAGCTTCATCACACACACTTCATGTCTTCTCTCCACCAATTAGCTGGTGTGTGGTGTGCGGTCCAGCACAATATGCTGGCATCGCTTTATCAAGGTAAATGCTGCACACTGGTGGCGGACGAGGAGATTCCTATCAAAAATGTGTAAAGCGCTTTGAGTGTCTAAAAAATATGCTATATAAAAATCATGAATTATTATTATTATTATCATTATAATTATTATATTTTAAATTAATAGAAAATTACATTTCAAATGATTTTTTTTTAATGAATACATGAATTAATACATGATAGTAAAATCCAAATCTCCACAAGATTCCCTATGATGTCTAATAGTCACATATGCTCAATAATGCATTGGACTGGATGAGTGTGTGTTTGTTGAGCGCAGTGACTGCAGGGCTGATATGGTGGAGTCTGCAGAGACTGATGTTTCTCTGCTCTTCAATGTCTCCAGCAAGCCTCAGGCCAATAACCAGCTAACAATCTTCAAGATGACCTTGCTTTTGTATCATACAACTCATATCATTTCATCATTCATTAATGCAGTGCTTACACACCAACACTCACTTTTATGTGTACAAATATTTGCAAAGTGTTAGCGGGTGCGTTCACAACTGCCTTTAAAATGGACTACATTTCCTTATAAAGTGCAAACACACTAAATTAAGCTTATAAAGTGCAAACAATCCAAATTTGAATGTGAAACGATAGATACACATAAAGATGGACAGACAGCAATGAATACATACACAGGAAGGAAGGATGACAGAAAGACAGAAAAGGAAAAAAAGAAATAAAAAAGATCGAACAAAGAAAGAAAGAAAGAAAGAAAGAAAGAAAGAAAGAAAGAAAGAAAGAAAGAAAGAAAGATGAATGGATGATGGATTGAATGAAGTAAGGAAGAACAGACGGTCGAATAGAGAAAGAAAGAAAAAAAGAAAGAAGGATGGATGGATGGATGGATGGATGGATGGATGGATGGATAAATGGATGCAAGGATGGATACACAGGAAGAAAGAAAGGAAGGACAGTCAAGGACAAAGAAAGAATACATAGATAGATGGATGGATGGCAAGATAGATATACAGACAGGAAAGAAGGAAGGAAGGAAGGAAGGAAGGAAGGAAGGAAGGAAGGAAGGAAGGAAGGAAGGAAGGAAGAAAGGAAGGAAGGATGGTCGGACGAACAAGAAAGAAAGAAAGACAGACAGACAGACGGACGGACGGACGGACGGACGGACGGACGGACGGACGGACGGACAGACAGACAGACAGACAGACAGACAGACAGACAGACAGACAGACAGACAGACAGATAGATAGATAGATAGATAGATAAAGAAGGATGGTTCATTGTAATTCAACATCCTGTCACCGATTCAATTCAAAGTCTCTCTCATGAATTTAAAGGGAGCCAAACGCTGCAAGTGACCTGCTGTCCAGTGCTGTACCCGCTCTAAAGTCTGTGTGTTTCCATCTGTTAATTCAGCCAGATTACAGTGCGCGCTATACTGTTGCAGTCTGGACGTTTGTGAGGGAATAAGAGAGCGCCTCTCTTTAAGTTTTCCATCTGCTGTATGTGCTTTTCATCAAGAGAAAAATGATTGCCGCCCAGCACACGTTCATTATTTCAGCCCCTGCGCTGATGAGGCCACAGAAACAGAGGAAGACGGAGAAAAATGGGAAGACAATTCAAAAGACTAACCCCATTGGATACATAGACTGGCGTTACGTAATGAAGGCTTTTCAGACCAATTTACTGGTAAGGGAGTCATCATGTAGAAAGTACAGTGGCCTATAATTTAAAGCATAACACTGGCGGTGCAGACTGGCCATCTGCGTCATCCTGAAGTGAGCCTCGGGGCTTTTATCAAGCCGAATTTCACAACCCGAAGAAAGAAAACAAAACAGACTCGTTCCAAAGACACCATATACTATGCTAACTTGCTGCAGGTATTATTGTTTATTTAATGTGCAGCAATGTTCGTTTATGTTCATGAAGCAGGCAAAATGATCAGCCCTCCTGCAAATATTTTTACATATTTACATGTGCAGCCTTGGGCCGGAGGGAGTCCGGTTCGGGGATCACAGGATTCCATCTCTGTTATTTGCAGAAGATGTTGTTCTGTTGGCTTCATCAAACATGGCCCTTCAAGATGCACAGGAGTGGTTTGCTGCCAAGTTCAGCCTGGCTGAGATGAGTGTCAGCAACTTCAAGTCTGAGGCCATAGTGGTCCACCGAAAAAAGGTGGCTTGCCCCAAGTATCTTGGGGTTTTGCTCATGAGTGAGGGGAGGATGGAACGTAAGGTTGACAGGCGGATTGTTGCAGCAGCAGCAGTAATACGGTCGATTTACCGGTCCATTGTGTTAAAGAAGGAGCTGAGTCGAAAGGCAAAGCTCTCGACTACCATTCAATACACGTTCCTCTCACCTATGCTCATGAGCTTTGGGTCATGACCGAAAGGACAAGATCTTGGATACAAGCACAAGAAATAAGTTTCCTTCAAGGGTGGCAGGGTGCACCCTTATAGATAGTGTGAAGAGCTCTGTCACTCTGCAGTAGCTCGGAGTAGAGCTGCTGCTCCTCCACATCGAGAGAAGTCAGCTGAGGTGCCTAGGGAATCTGTTTCAGATGCCTCCTGCATGCCTACCTAGGGAGGTGTTCCAGGCATGTCCCACCGAGAGGAGGCCTTGGGGCAGACTTAGGACACGCTGGAGGCACCTTACTTCCACACCAGTTCCGGATTAGTATATCTATACACCAAGCTTGCACACACACAGTGCTGAGTCTTGTTATCGTGTGGCATTACAAAACATTCTATTGTCTAGCCTTCCTTTGTTTTCTGACCCTTGCCTTGTTTCTCGTTTATGTTGTTTTGTATTGACCTCTTTGCCTGTAACCAGAATGGCAATTTTGGATTTTTCTCATGATACTGTTTGTTCCTGTTTTGACCATTGTCTGCATGACTCCAGCATGACTGCATGACTGAGTTTACAAACTGCATTTGGAGCCTCAACTTCATTGTACCCCGGCATCCATGTTACAGATTTGGGGTTGTCTTTTTAATTGTTTTTCAAATATTTCCAGAGTGATGTTTAATAGAGCAAGGACATTTCCAATTGCATTTTTTCTTTAGGAGAAAGTCTTAAATTAACACAGTTTTTCGTTGTTTTTAAATATTTCTTAAGGTTAATAATTATAATATTGTTACACCACTTAAGAATTTTATTTCAGTTTTCCAATAACATGTCTAACTAACCCAATTAACTTAATGTCACTTTAAGCTGAATATTAGTATCTTGCAAAATTACTAGCAAAATATCATGTACTGTCATTATGGCAAAAATAAAATAAATTATGCCCTATTATACACTCTGCGAAATAAGGCGCAAGACTTGTTTGGCACAATTTTTTTGCTATTTTCAGATCAGCACAACCCTAATTTTCACATTTTGCGCCACGTTGTTTAAATAGCAAATCCATTAATTCCACTTTGTGGACTCAAGAGTGTGCCGGCCTATAGACCATTTTGAGGGATGTAAACAAAAACAATGGCCCCAACGTGTTTCCTGTTGTACATTTTTAATTTCTACAGCTTCTGAGAATCTAAAAAGATATATAATGTTATGATAGCTGTTTTAATGTTAAGTTATGATTGAATTGCCTTTTGTTATAGTTATGAAATAGTTTGATAACAAGCAGGAAATGTTCAGGGGCCAATTACATGACAATATTGAAATGGTCTATAAAGGAGTAGTGTTAAGGCATATTGTTGGCGCGTTGCTATTTTGACAAACTGAAATAGACTGTGCAATTGACCAACTAAAAGGTAGTCTAAAGTCCAGCACAGAGTGCTTTAGTTATGCACCTTTGCAGGTTCAAACGGTTACACATTGCTTAATACACACAGGATGTACAGCAATACACAAATATCTTTAGTTATGAAATAAAAGACTAAAAATATACAAATATTATCATTTTCTACAAAAATTTAAACACCACTGCCTCCATGCCTTCTTTATGTCGAGGGTCTTTTTTCAGTTTATTCATGACAATTCGTATTTTTGCTATATTGTTATTTTTATTAGCAGTATTATTTATTATATGCATTTTCATTTGTATATTTGTTTTAATACAAACAATTTTAGATTTGTCCACCTGTCAGGTTTTAGAGACGTATGCATGACTGTATGAGGCATAGGAATAGGACGTGTGTTTGGATATTACTTGTTTGACCACACCTCCTTATTATTGTTAATTTATTGGTTTGCTGGAAATTAGAACTGTATTTAGAAATAGATTTGAAACAAATCTTTGCGCTTAAACGAAATTAACTATCTAAGAGATGTCTTCAATGGAGTGCGTACAACACCTAATCTACGAAAGGAGTAAAGAGTATAGGCATGTGCACACCGGGATGTTTTTTGCTCACGTTTTCCGTCAACCTTTAACACCTCGTGAATAAATAAAGAGCGCCAATGTGATCGTGAACACCAACGCACAAAAAAACACCAGAAATTAAAGCCTTATGCTTGCGTGTTCCTTCTCCACCAATCAGATTGGCACTTTTGATCTTGTGCACAGAGCTGCTAAAGTTATAGTAAACAGCACTGAGAGGCGCTCAATCGCAAAACTGTCAATGCGAGTGCACACTGAAGAAGATGCCCAGAGGCGATATGAACATGGAGCTGCTCATTGCACAGGTAAACAATAATCATTTCTTCATTGTTAGAGCTGGAGCTACTGCTTGAAACATCCATGCGTGTTCGAATCGCCAGTAACTTTAACAACAAGCATGTCAACTTTTCTGTATTCTTCTTTTGTGTTACAAGTGATTGTCAGAAGCTTACATTTTTGTATCGCAATCTAACATCAAGGAGTGATTTTGCACTCTTCAGTTCGACGCCAGTGAAAATCGTTTGGTGTGAATCAAGAAGAACGTCTTGGAAAATTGCTGTTGATAAACGCAAACTAAAAACATCCCATTGTGTATGAGCCTTAACAGTAAAGAGAAAGTAAAGAGGCCGAATGGATGAGGCTCGTTCTTTATTCTCACTGCAGATGGTTTGTTTAACTGTTTTCTTGAAGCGTTTTACCATTTAGCTTTTCCACTTCCACAAGTCTACCATATAAATAGCAAATGTGCCACGGCACGACACAACTGACTCTTAAAGAGAATGTTAGATGTGACTCTGATTGGTTTAATGCATGTTATGCTCAAAACACACCCAGAACTCAATAAGAGAATAAGCACAACCCTGTTAGAACATGCACCAGGGCACAAAGCGTAATTTTTTTGTCCTTTAAATAGGAAAAGTGGCTTCGGACACACACTTATAACTAATTAGAAATTAGTTATTTAAAATATTATGTCAGCACTTTGAATAATTTCAGTAATAATTTTTCAGAAAAAAATCATTATTTTTGAAAAATCAATTTCAGCATTCAGTGTCAATGTTTTTACTTTTGTTGACACTATTCACATTGTGTGCAACCAACAACCAAAGAAAAAAAAATGAACACAATACAGGCTCATTTCAAAGCCACTGCTAATAAATCATGCTAACGCGCAGTATGGAGTGAACTGGAAAATGGGGTTGTTTGCAATGTAACGCTTGGCATGGAGAAAAGCCCCTGCGGCTGTTTCTCAGTTGTGTGTGTTGAAGCGGCTCCTCCAGCACCTACCTTGACCTGAGGCCTGCTGCTGACTCTAGTTGTTCCTGCAGATGAGCTATCAGTCTGTGCACCACTGATCTGAGCCCTGCAGCCCTGCGCAACACCACTGCTGCTCTCTGACCTCGGCAGCTGCAAGACACACCAAAACACAGAAAGGTTACTTCCCTCATTTATTCCATGTTTTCACGTTTCTTGTTATTCTCTTAGTTTGTGCTGAACTTTTCGGGTTGTTTACAATGGACTGATATTTAAATTCTAATTTAAATATAAATATAAATTAAAATTATAATATTTATTCATTAATTTTCCTTCGGCTTAGTCCCTAAGCCACAGCGGAATGAACCACCAACTATTCAGGTATTCGTTTTACACATCGGATGCCCTTCCACCCAAAACCCAATACTGGGAAATAAATTATAATATTTAAAATATAAATTAAATGATAGTATTTAAATTGTTAATTCAATTCTAATATTAACATTTTAAAATTACATTTTTAATATTGAATATTTTAAATTCTAACATTAAAACTTTATATTGCTGTATTTAAACTTTACATTAAAATATATCAAAATTAAATTAAATTAAATTAAATTAAATTAAATAAGAAAGATGGATGGATGGATAGATACACACAGACAGAAAGGAAGAAAGAAAGATGGATGAATAAAAGGAAAAATACACAGGAAGCAAGAAAGGAAAGACAGACGGTCGAACAGACAAAGAAAGAAAGATAGGAAAGAAAGAAAGAAAGATAGATAGATAGATAGATAGATAGATAGATAGATAGATAGATAGATAGATAGATAGATAGATAGATAGATAGATACATAGATAGATAGATAGATAGATAGATAGATAGATAGATAGATAGATAGATAGATAGATAGATAGATAGATAGATAGATAGATAGATAGATAGATAGATAGGAAGGATAGATACACAGACAGGAAAAAAAGAATGAATGAAGGAAGGAAGAAAGTAAGAACAAACGGTCGAACAGAGAAAAAAGAAAGAAAGAAAGAAAGAAAGAAGAAAGAAAGAAAGAAAATAAAAGAGAAAAAAAGAAAGGATGGATGCATGGATGGATTAATGGATGGAAGGACAGATACACAGGAAGAAAGGAAGGAAAGACAAAAAAGAATTGGTGGGTGATGAATGATTGGATGAATGGATGGATGAATGAAAAGATGGATACACAGATAGGAAGGAAGGAAGGAAGGAAGGAAGGAAGGAAGGAAGGAAGGAAGGAAGGAAGGAAGGAAGGAAGGAAAAAAGGACAGATGGTCGAACGGACAAAGAAAGAATGAAAGGATACTAAGACAGTTGATGTATATATAAGCAAATATAAGCAGGGGTATGAACAGGATTGGAGGTTGAAACGATAAAGATTGTTACAGTTCCCTTGCTTTTTTCATCCAGCTATTTTAATGAAATCCATATGCCTTTATGCAATACTTAAAACACAGCAATTCAATTGATGGCTCGAGTAAAATTAATTCTGTGTTTTCAGACTCAACGATTAGCTGAAAAGCAGTAACTTAATTCGCCTGATATAAGGTCAAACGCAGGATTTGCAGACAGAGTTGGAAGCCGGCAGAGAGAGAAGTTTGCATATGAAATAGAAAAGTACTTAAAAAGAACACAAATACATGCTAATTCAGTCATGAAATTAAGTAATGATCCTCGCCGCATTCTTGCTTATGAATCATAATATAATCTGACTGATTATGATTATTCTGTTCTGTAGACCTTAAAATTTTAAATCTACGTCTGCAAATCCTTCTTCCATTAGCACTTCAGGGGGAAAGCGCAGGGGAGGGTGAGAAGGGGCTGCGAGAGAATGAATAAAAATCCCCTCTTAAATATTTAGTCAATGAGATGAATTCGGCAGAAACGCACACCGCTCTCATTACAAGCAGATAGAGCGCGGTGTAATGTCGAAACACACCTGTTTATGAGTCGACCTGGCTTCCAGCAGAGAGCGGCGCCCTTTCCCGACATTCTTCTGTTTCATCAACTGTGAAGCAGGAGCCCTTTCATCGCTATCAGTCTTCCTTATCAGCGGACAGTTAATTTTGGGATTAATATAAAGGCTGCCATCCTCTTTTAAAGGATTTGTAGTGGAGCAAGAGACTCTTATCTTAGTCATTACAGGGGAAATATTGGATTCAAGCATTTTAGTATCTGCAAAACATTCAACAGTATCTATCGGGGTTTCACATGGTAAAGGATTAAGATAAGGCGCCTCATTATGGCACTCTGACTGGCTACCAGCTACACTTGCTTCAGAAACACCATGTGCTTTTTGGTATTCATCGCAGCCCGATGAAGGTTTTAGGAGAGCGAGGGGCTCTATTAGTTTGGCGCCATGTCTCGTGGGCCGTTTGCTAATGGACATGCTGTAACAGAGAGGAGGGCCTAGGTACACTTCTTCCGTACAGGCCTCAAACAGCGGCTCTTCGTCACGGATATCTGGGCTACAGGAAAGGATCGGGGTGCTGCTCTTGTCCTCGGTGCATGTGCTGACCTCTCCGCAATCGCTGTCATGTGAAGACAGCGAGAGATATGAGTAAAAGTCGCCCTTTCTCAAATGAATAAGCCGATGGGAGTGCTCGAGGACCTTCTCTTTTATCTGAGATACAGACGTTGGGCTGCAAACCTCAGTCGGCTCCTCTTTGGTTTTCCGGGCCACAGATGTCAGGTCGATGATCTCCATCACAAAGTCATGAACGTTTTCACTCCTGGCTTCTTTGGACATAAAAGAGGGGTGACTGCAGCAATCTGAAGAGCCTTCCTGATGGTTTTCGTGGACGTCGTTCAGAAATGCGGCAAGCTGCTTCTGTCGGCTGAGAGTGTGTGCTGCTAACCCCGAGCAATCATCTATTGGAGACAGTGAAGGGGAGGGACGGCGAGAATTGTGACAAGGCAGCTCGCCTTTTAACTGCCCTTCCAGGGAGCCCAAGCTCAACTGTTCACATGAGGATGGAGAGGTGGTGGTCAGCATATTGCTTTTGATGCCCGTGGTAGCATCCACCCCGTAGGAGGCTTTAAATGGCTCCCCTTTCTTGGTTAGCAGACTTCCCTCCTCCCTCAGCAGCTCATCATCTTCGTCTTTGGCTTTGATGTGAGAGCTCTCGACATTGCCGTTTTCCATATCATCCACAAAGCAGCTGATATAGTTCCTGGTGGCATCCCGGCGGTTCCCATCCACCTCCCGGTGCTTGAGACTCTCGTTTTTAGCATTAGTGTTGGCTTCCAGGAGCCTCAATGCAGATCTGCTGAGAAACTGCCGATCGCTGGCAGTCTTAATAGGTGACAGGATGTCTCTAGACAGGGTGCCACACTGCAGTTCATCCACCAGATCTGCCTCGTTTTTCTCTCTAATCTGAGATCGAGGCTTCATCCAGCTTTGAAACTCACCCTTTATGTAATCCAACCCAAGAGCGAAGGAGCCTTCGATGTACTCTTCCTCTGAGGTTACACTAGAGTCATCATCTTTAATACCAAGCTCCTCTTCGGTGAGAGTCAAAGTGGAGCTGGAGAGAAGATCGCTGTCTTCTTCATCGTCGGTGCAGGCTGATGTGCATGAAATGTTAACAACCATACTGATACTAGCATCTGTCTCATCCGCTTGTTGCTGGCTGTGGCAATGTTTTCGGAAGGAAGCATTGGATTCAGCAGCTATGCAGCGGTTCATTTGCACGGCTAAGTCTTCGGATGCCACCGAGGAGTCTTCAGTGCTGCTCAGCTCTGTCAGGGAGGCTGCCGAGCTCTCGTTAATGGAGGAGGGAGCGCCAGCCGAGCGTGACCCACGCCACAGTGAGCTGCTCTGGAGCGTTACGTCAGACACACTGCGCGTCATCTTCAGAGCGAGTGGGCTTTGGATGTTCTCAAGGCGTTTCAGAAGCTCTAGAGTTCTTCTGCTGAGTTCCCCAGTGGGCTCCACAGTCGATCCGATGTCCCTCAGACTTTCCTTACTTCCCCCGTCCTCTGCACTCTTACACGGAGCAAGCCAACTTTCTAGGGAAGTGCTACGAGTGAGTGTCTCTTTGCTTGTTGGGAACAGTTCTCCCACTGCATAAAGGGAGTCTAGGGAAGACCCCTGGGAGAGCTGTGCAAACTCCTTTTGGAGCTTTCGGTGTGTAGTCACTCTCTCATCATCTCCACTCATGCTGGGATTTTCATCGCCAGACTCTTGGCATAGCCCGAGGCCTTTGGCAAGGATCTTCACAGGCTCCTTGCGATGTTTCTTTCTGCTTTCTCCACAATCATCTCTCTTCTTTCTCGTGCCATGGCATCGCTGGTCTCTCTTCACAATGGTAAGACTGTCACCATATTCAGCGCACTTGTTGGCACGCTCCAAAACTCTGTCTATGTCCTCATCTGAGACTCTGTCTCTATTATGTGAATCTTCTCTGATAGGAGGAGTGAGGGTAACGCAAACTTTTAAATCATCGCTCTGGCACAGCAGGCAAATTTCAGAGTTACCCAAGGTCTCTGTGTCCCCTTCACTTACTATCCCACTTTCGCTTTCTGATCTCCTGGCTGAATCTGATAGCAGCCTCTGTTTCCCTCTCAGCAGGTCTCCCAGGATATCAGGTAGAGATTCAGCCGAGGAGAAGGATGAATCCATGCTCACTCTCTTGAGCAGTGATTGCTGCGCTTTGGCTGGAGATGATTTGTGATTATATTGGGGTTGTTGATAGAGTTCTACGTTATGCAGACTGTACACCTGATAAACATGGGAAGATGGAGCGCACTGTGTGTCAGTTGGGCATGACTCAGTGAGACTCGAAGGCTCCTTTGGGGAATTAAGGTGTGATTTAGATCCAGGAGTTTCCTCATCTTCACAGTTCTGCGTCTCCATATTGATGGTCATGTCCATCTCGTCCCACTCCCAAGAGTCTTCTGTCAGGCCATGGAGGTCCATGAGCGAAGGCTCAATGAGGTTCCCAGGGACCTGCAGCAGAGAGAGAGAGAAAAAAGAAGATGACAAGGCATATAAATTCTTGATTGCACTTTTAATTAGATCAAATGCCAAGTTAATTTATGACAAACACGTTTTTGCATAGATATGGGCATTCAGTGCAGTGCATGATGACACAAATTGCTTTGCATCTTGTTTAAGCGGGAAGAGTCTATTTATATGATCCTCTTTATCTCATTAATCTAATAAACTGGCAAATCTAACACTTGCTTTGTATGTCATATATCCCATTAAATGAATTTTTATTAGATTTCTGTTTATTCTCTTTCTGCTGATGAGGAAAATACTAATGCACAGGCTTGGATTGCTAGCGCATGATAAAAAGCCTCAACTGTGAGAACAATCAATCAGTCTAATCAAATAAAAATAATTTCAGTTAGCTGCCTCAGCTAACATTTGTACCCCGATTGCAGCACATAACGTTTTAATCAGATAGACTAATTATAACCTTTAGTCACGTCATTACCAAAGTAATTTTGCCATTTTGTGGAAAGTTAAACAAGACGGTCTAGTAAGGCATGAGATTTCTGCCATCTTCTATTCAGTGTAATACTGCAATCCTTTAATAGCTTGACATTGTCAATTAAAGCCTTTCTCCTTTTAACAGCCTCTATTGCACTGGTTTAAGAGCAGGTGAAAGTTAACTTAAAAACCATTGTCTTTCAATGACCTTCAAACAGAATTCTTGATATTGTAAAAATAAAAAAAGGGAAAAATCCTCCAAAAAAAAAAAAAATGAAAGAGTAACGATTGGAATTTCGTTCAGACACAAGACTTGTTGTGAGCAAGGCCTCCTGAAGCATTCAACAGTCAGCTATTTCATCATCTCACAAAGTGTACTGTATTCACAAAAACAAACTCTCCCTATTATTTTTCTTTTCCTTTCTTCTGCAACCGCAAAAAAAAAAAAAAAAAAAAGTGAAATTGCACTTCAGCCCCGCAAGGTCAAGCTGAGCGAGGGCCGAGTAATTTGTCTTTCCCGTGTAAGTGAGTGGACATTCACAAACAGGTTGCTGGGCTTTTCTGCATGAGGAACGAAGCCTCCCCAGAGCCCTGCTGCTGCCATGCAGGAATGCACAACATCTACATGACAAAAGGCGAAGTTTAGCCCTTTGCCCACTCCCCCGTTTAACACGCACTGTAACAGTCCCACACATACAATAAGAAACTAGTTAAGGGTTCCGTTTTCAGGATGGGAAGTCTTTTTATACTGCGGTGAACATGGTATATGCGCATGTTATGTCCTTTAAGAGACTGCTTTCTCCCTTTCAGTGCTGGAGGGGGACAGCGGATCAAGTTATTTCATTGCTACGGGTTACTCAATCTGCATTAAGAACAGTCAGTTATTTCTGGCAGCATCTGTAATCGATTGAGTTCACAGTACATTGGGTATCTGGGGAGCGCATCCAGCCACTGTCCCCTAACTCTGTGCATTCAAGAATAATATGTGGCCACTTTCCCTGCCTTATACATCATTCTTATTGCACTGCTACAGTGGTGCTGCACTATATTATTGGTGCAAGTGTATTTCTGCCTAACAAATTGTCCTGGACAGCTTCGTTTGAGTGGAGAAACATATAAAGGGGTCTTTAAAATGACAGTTTGGTAGGGTTGAATAAAATATATGAGAATGTGATTTTTAGTTGAACAAACTATATCAAATTGCTCATTTTTAGAATGATATATAATTAATTGTAGAATTATAATGGATGCATTAAATGATTAAAACACTAAGCTTCACATCTGATTAATTTCTATCCATGGCAAGCGAAGGCAGGTGATAGAGTAAGGATATATGTGAAGTTTATTTATAAGCTAATTTCGAGAGATCACATGCTTATGGTTGCTTGCAGCTGGTCAATTTATAATTCACCAATCAGATGATTCCTAAGCCACTATAAAAACCTTAAGTTCCATATGACAGCCATCTTCGTTTTGAAGAATCCCCCCTTCCACCCCTACTCCTCCTCCTTTCCTATGGGTGGCACGGTGGTACAGTGAATAGCACTGTTGCCTCACAGCAAGAACGTCACTGGTTCTAGTCCTTACCAAGCCAGTCGACGTTTCTGTGCAGAGTTTAGAAGTTCTTCGCGTGCTCAAGTGGGTTTCCCCCAGGTTCCCCGGTTTCCTCCCACCGTCCAAAAACATGCAACTCAAGTAAATTGACTAATCCAAATCGGCACCATAGACATGCTCCTAATAAGTAGTTACTAGGTAGTAAAAGCAATCACAATCTGTTCATTAGCTACAACAGCAGGGGAGTTCTCGAAATCTACCTGAGCTCAAACTCCCCTCTTGCCTTGTAAACGGGAGGGAGCCCCAAGCTCGAGGATCTTATGAGCTCAGGGACAGCATGCCAAACAACCTTTAAAATTAATCATCAGCTAATTGTGAACACTTGAACTAACCATTTATCAATGTTTAAGAGAATTTGAACTGAAAAATCTAATTAAGCAGGATAACAGTTGTAGATATAAGACATAAAGATATAAGACACTTTGTATAACACCAGCTGGATGTACATTATGCCTTCTACATTACAAACTGTCCCCAAATTGAACAGAATTGACTAAACAAGCAATGGTTTTTTTATTACATAAATTACATAAAAAATAGACTTATTTAAAAAAAAATACTTATTTTAGTCATATAAGTAGCAAATTATGTTTGCTTAATTAAAAGTGGTGTATGCGTGCATTTTCAAGATGGGAAATTGCTCCATGCAAACAGTGTTTTTTGAGCTTGTTTGTGCCAATTTGCATAATTCTTTTAGCTGCTAAATAATGCAAACAGAGCCTACAACTCCTTTTTTTTTAAATAATATACAGTACATAGCGCACAGTTTTCAGTAAACAGTACCACAACTCCTTCTCAAACGCAATTAAACTGACAACCCCAAACAACTATGAAACTCGCTGCTGAACTTTTAACATACGATGCATTGTTGAAGAAACTAACTAGCTAGTTATGACTGTTTTCTGAAATATGATGTTTGAACCTTGTTGTTTAGACCTGTCATTAGTGATTTCACAGCTATTAATTGAAATGTAAAGATTAAAATAATGTTAGATCAATGCTTAAACACTTTTATTCTCTGATATTTTGGTTTATTATGCAGGTTCCACTCTAGATTACGCTTATTTACCAAAAATAAAATATGATCATGCCTTGATTTTTTTATTATTTAATTAGGACAGTCAGATTTGCTTAGACAAAAGTCTTGTCACCTAATAGGAATAATGTACAGTATAGAATATAAAGTCATGCTGCAGTGAAAAAAGAATGAATATTGTGTATGACTTCCATGAGTTTGTAAGACTGCATCCATACATCTCTGTATTGACTCTAATTATAATAAAGTCATCTAAAATGGCAAAGAAGACGTTCTTGCAGGACTCCCAGAGTTCATCAGGATACTTTGGATTCATCTTCAACGCCTCCTCCTTCATCTTACCCCAGACATGCTCAACAATATTCATGTCTTGTGACAGGGTTGGCCAATCCTAGAGCACCTTTGATTTGTGATGATTGGGATGCAGATTGGATCAACCTTCTTCCACTTTTCCAAATGATCAACTAGAATCATATTAAATAAATTATTATTTATTGCACTTACAACTGAGATCGACGACAAGACTTCAGGTAGAGTCTGGTATCTGTATTAAAGGTACGGAGTGTACTGTATGTTAGTTTACATATTTGCATATATGTTTATAATCTATTTAAGTCTATATGACCTATATTAAAAGAAAACAATGCTTCTAAAAAAGCTGTAGTTTCATCTTTGCAAGTTTGTGATTCTGTTAGTGAATGTTTGCCCACACAATATATTCAGGAAACATGTTTTTACTAACATGAACAAATAATTAGTAATGTATTTATTACTGATTTATTACTTATTCATGTAAGTCAATACATTAACTTATAACTAATTAACTAATAACTAATAGTCAGTATATAAACTAAAAGACCATTATCTTTAAGTTTAAGTTTTTTGATACTGAGTTAACTTACACTGCTGGGTTTCACACAATTCCAACATATTGTCACAACACAAATTGATTAACTCCCCAAATACCCCCTACCCCCTTAAATAAGCAGTTTGAACAAGCAGCAGAAGTCGTTTCTGGAGAGTAAGACTTTCGTTGGCTTATGATTGAGTTTTGGGAAGAGGTTAAATCTCAAGTCTAGTTTTTCCTTCACTTTTGACAATTGGTGAAGTTTGTTCCTCCCCACGGTTGCCACAAGCTTACTTGATTTGAGACTTGTTGAGCTGCAGTTTCAACAATGAAATTTAAACCACACAGAACAAAACTAACTAAACTTCAACACTGAACACTGGACTGATGCAGTTTCAATTTACTAGAACCTCTATATTTAGCTGCTTTGACACAATGTACATTGTAGAAATGTAGCTATATAGCTATAGAAATAAAGTTGAATTGAATACTAGAGCCTGTTTATATCCACGCAGTGCATGTGTTGTCTTGTAGCTATAGTGTAAAGGGTCAGTGACCTGGTCTCTGCCGAGTGAGCGTTTGAGTCGACTCTGCCACTGAAGCGTCTGCATGATGATGGCCTCCCAGCGTCTCTCCAGGTTGACCTGCAGGAGCTGTAGAGACTGACGCTTAGACTCTGAGCTCTGATGTTCAGGCCCGTCCAGCAGCCGCTGACAGAGCCGCAGAATTGAGGAGATGCCCCTCCGTCTACCCCGCACCTCCACACACAGAGCCTGCGGAGACATTACCCATCAGTCACCGCAAACACTCACCCACCAACTGGTGTCCTGACATTTTATCCTGCTTTTATCTTTACATTATTTAGCAAGTTATTATTAGTATAGTTTTTATTTTTGAGAATTACGTCAAAACTGAGTTTTCCTTAATAACCGAATAAAGGTTCGTTAATAAAGAAACTGAGAAAAAATAGGAAAAGTTGTAAAAAGGATGCTAAACAATATACTTTTATACAGCTCTTTTACACTGTAGCTGATAGAAATTAAAATAAACAATAGTATTATCATTAACAATAAATAAATAAATATAAACCATAAACAATTAACAAATAAATATAAAACCATAAACAATAAATAAATACCACAAACAATAAATGAATAAATATAAAACCATAAAAAATAAAATAGAAAATATAAAACCATAAACAATAATTGAATAAATATAAAATCAAAAACAATAAAATAATAAATATAAAACTATAAAAAATAAATGAATAAATATAAAACCATAAACAATAAATGAATAAATATAAAACCATAAACAATAAACAAATAAATATAAACCATAAAAAATAAATAGATACCACAAACAATAAATAAATAACATAAATAATAAATAATAAACAAACAAACAAATAATGTAAACCATAAACAATAAATTATTACTATGAACAATAAATAAATAAACGTAAAATCCTACCATTAAAATTTTTAATAAAATAATTATTAAACAATTATTGTAAAACAATAAACAATAAAAATACCAGAAAAATAAATAATATTAATAAATGTAAAGCCATAATAAATAAATAAATGTAAAACCATAAATAATAAATTCTATAAACAATAATAAATAAATAAATATAAAAATTATAAATAATAAATAAATACCACAAACAATAAATAAACAAATAAATAAATACATAAATAAATGTAAAACTATAAACAATGATTAAATATTGCAAACATTAAATGAATGAATAATGTTTAGTTCCTTAATTTTTAATTTAATTTAATTTGATTTATATCCAATGTAAAACAGCAAAAACTGATATTTTACTAGACCTCTAAAATCATGCAAAAACACTCTCCAACACAAATTTGTGATAAAAAAAGAAAGGAAAAATATAAACGGATCACAATTACTCAACTGAAAAATCTAGACTTTAGATTTTATGACTAACAACACTAGGTTTTATTGCAAGTCATGCATGTGAGTTTTCATAGCATGAATGAACACAGTGAATGAAGAGCGAGAGACAGAGCCAATGACATAGAGAGAGAAAGAGAGAGAGACTCCAGTGCTCTTGATGAGGTCTCTGCAACAATCCAGGCTGTCAGGAGCAAGTAAATCACATCCCGTTCTCCCATAAACACCACAGAATCAAATATTTAAAGGACAGAGCTGCGCTGGCATGCTTCAGTGTCCGGCTATGACACTTGTTTAATGAAAGCGTCGGAGCATATAGACTCTCCTGAAGCTTTCGAACGCTCTTCTCTTTCACCTGCACCAAAACACCCTTTAAAATATGCAGCAAAGAGACGTCCGTGTGTGCAGAATGGGACGAAACACATTCGCAGAACAATTTATGCAAATCCCGGCCAGCGCCTTACATTTTCTGTACATTTTTTTTCAATAAATATTAAACACCATTACATTTAAATTGGATTTTATTTTATTTTTTTGTTTCCTGGAGGGCTTGGCGCCTCTGTTTTAGCATACTCCGCTCAGCCATGTCTTTTAAACAGGTAATGAGGCTGTAAAATGCGCTGGAGAAGAGCTGATAGAGATGAAACTTTTGACAGAGGTGATGGAAAACTGGCACTCGAATGGACACTGGGTTTTAATGGCGTGCGGCGGATGGGGATTGTAGCGCTCGGAGTTTCTTAAAGATGCATGTAAATATTTTATGGTACAATAGCTTGTCGGCTGGTTAACGTTTTTGGAGTACAAGAGGAGCCGTGTTGGGTGTGATAGTTACAAAGTAGCTAGTTATTGTAATTAAATGACTTTTCTGAGGAAAATGGATCACTTTCCTTTTATTTTTGTCATTTAGTTACAGTTATTTAAAATATATTCTCCTGAAATGCTGTGCATAAATCAGTTCAGAGAAGAGTAATGGTTATCATTGTTATTGTTATATACAGTATACACTGTAAAACCAGTGACAAATCAGTAAATGAAATAAATTTAACTTAAAATATAAAAGTTGCGTTGACTTAATGAAAGACTGATTACAATAAGCAAGACTCAAACCTAAGTTATGAATTAATTCACTGAACTCTAATGCTAGATGCAATATCAAACAATTTGAGTAGCTAGTTGTTTTGATTTTTTTTTACTGAACCTAAAGTGTTTAAGTTACTAAAACTCTAAATGTTTGACAATAACACAAATAATATATGTTTATATGACTCAATGTAGGTTTACAGGACACTCTCAGAAATAAAGGTACGCAAGCTGTCACAGCTTTTTTTCAAAAGGTACAAATTTGTACATGTAAAAGGTCCATATTGATACCTCAAGTGTACCTATTAGTATCTAAAAAGTACACAAGTATTCCCCTCAAACTTTTAAGGTACTAATATACACTTTTGAGGGACCAATATGAACCCTTTGAGTAGAAATCTGTACCTTTTCCAAATGTACCACCTCAGTGACGGCTCATGCACCTTTATTTCTGACACTACTCACAACTCACACCATTTTGTTTCAAAACTTGCCGCAATCGGGATCCTCAAACAGTTTGAGCTAATTTAACTTATCAGGTTTTACAGTTTTTACAGTACACACACACACACACACACACACATATATATATATATATATATATATATATATATATATATATATATATATATATATATATATATATATATATATATATATATATATATAAATATATATATATTTTTTTCCCTAATTTCTGTTTAACAGAGAGCAGATTTTTTAAACACATTTCTAAACATAATAGTTTTAATAACTGCTTATTAATATATATTATATGCTTATTATATATATATATATATATATATATATATATATATATATATATATATTGCATCGGATTTTATTACTGCACTGCAATGACCTGACATTGTGAAGATGTTGCATTTTGTTTGGAAATGAAAACATCCAACATCAATGTCCAAAGTGAAACCTAAAATCAACCAAATATCAACATCTATTAATGTCACAGCTTAATAATATGTGTACATTACCACTATGACATCTGTCAGATGTTGAACTTGGTTGCCATACTTGATGAATAAATGTCAGTTTTTGACGTCAATATGACATTGGTTTAAGATGTTGGCTCAAAGTTGGATTTTGGTCACTTTCCAACAACCTAAAATCAACCAAATATTAACTTCATTTGATTTGGTTATTGGACGTCAAAATAACACTGTACTTAGGCTCTGGCTAGACATTTAATTTTGGTCACCTGCTGACTTAATTCTAACCTAATATTAACATCTTATGATGTTGTGTGCCTGCTGGGAAATGACATGACAGAAAGTCACGAAAACAAATGTTTTTATGTTACTTTAACTAATATTAATGAGCTATAATAATCAGGTTTCAACTCAATTTGTTTAGTTATACAAAGTTTAACTCAATATTTTTAGTCAGTTTGACGGGTGTAAGTTAACATGACTAAAAATGTTTAGATTGAGTAGATTGAGTATTTTTATTACATGTTTTAAGCAAAAACAAGGTAAAACAACTGAAGATATTAAAATTAATTAAAGTTATAAGCTAAAACAAACACGTAAAAACAAACAAAAATGTATTTAATCTTAAGGACTTTGATGTTTCTACTAAAAAAAATACTTTAAAAACAAAATCCTCTCAATTAGAAACCTCAATTCTCTGATGCTAAATATAAAGATATGATTTTATTTGAATATATCATTGAATCGAATCTATAACACCATATATTGTAAACATAAACCATGTTAAATCCTTTGAAATTTGAAATGAGTTTAATTGAATATCTTTGAATCTAACTCATAATTGCTCAAAACAGTACACATTTATGAAAACTATATATTTATTTCTAACAAAACAACAACTGAAAAGTGTTGCATAATTTTCCATGCAGCAATGGTTTGTCAATAGCCATACATATTCAGGTTTAACAACAAATATTATTCACTTTTATTGATATTATTTAGCAAACAATATTTTTGACATCTAATTATACCTTAAAAGACACTATAAAAATATCTATTAATTAATATTTTCTGTATGTTGTGGTTCGCAAGTGTTTTCCATGTATTTACAGTTTTATTTAAATTGACCATGCCATTTTCATGACTATGTTCAAAAAGTGGGGGAGACGGTTAAGAGGTTAACCAGGATAAAATATAAGCTATCATTAACGCTCATCTACAACAAACTCAAAGTGAATCCAGTGTGCACATGCAGAATGGAAAACTTTCTAAAATTTCTAAGATATGAAGAAGCAATGATTTCAGGTTTGTCGTATGACTTTAGAAGAATCAAAATACGGTTTGATCACTGCTCTGCTGACTTTTGGTGATGAAAATGCAACTTTACAGATAAAAAGTGACTTTTATTGGCATCTTTTGAATAATATAATGTATAAAAAATAATAAATAGAGAAATAAGTCTGTAAAATGACCGAAAACGTACAGGCAGTTTATTACAAGGTTTTTGTAGCATAATAGACAACACCAACCCAGACAAAATCACTTTAAACTTTTGAAAATGTACATAAATGTTCCTTTTTTTAACTTTTAAAGGTTAGAAGTATCTGGAAGAAAGACCAAAGTCCCTTAAAATCAAAATCAAATCAAAAGCATAAACAAACGAGAAAAAAGAAAAAAAACATGAAACAAAATACAGAGAACTGCTAATTTACGGATATTTTTTTACACTATACCAAAATTACCCGCATCACAAAATGTTTGTATGTAAATGTTCAAAAATAATTGCAAATCAACAACTTAGAGGCCACAAAAAACAAACT